AGATGGATATCTTAATTAGCATACAATGTTACACATATTACTGTACCTATCCTTCTGTTCACCTATTTGTTCAACCAGATTTACAAAATAAAACATTTATAGAATGAAAAAATGAATGTACCGTATTTGACCGCAAATAAGCCCCCTATCGTATACGTGTACATAATTTTTATATAGTACATGGAAGAATGAAAGCCCTCCTGTATGAGGACACTAAATTGTAAAGAAGCTGATCCCCATGGCTCCCTAGAGTTTACTTGGCGTGGGATATTTAACTACAGCAATCTCGCACTATTTCATGTAGCATCGTTAAAGATAAATGTTAATACAGCCCAAAATATTTGAGTCTGCTCACAGTCTGCTGGAAAACAGTTAAAAGGGTTATTTGAGAAACCTGATACACAGTTGGTGTAAAAGGTGGAGTTATAGACAGCAAAAGAAACATCTGGATAAATTCAAAGAAGACGTAGTGCATGTCGTGTGGAGTTCTGCTGATTTCAAAAGTAAAAGACGAGTGAGAAAACTCGAGATTATTGAAATGTAAGTGATTTGATCATTCTGTAATTCTATCTGCTACAGATTACGAAACAGGACGTGCTGCTAATTGAGAGTTGGGCGAGTGACTCGGGGTACTACCAGTGTCTGGCTTCTAACCCGGCCGGATCTGTCATGGCCACCGCTCGCATAGAAGTCATTCAGAAAGGTAACCAAGACGATGATTGTGTTAGTCGAGCTTTGCACCCTTCTCAGCAAGGAATACTGTCTACTGGTGGGACACTTCCGAACAGTCAAAAATATCCGACCTTTACCAATAAGTTCATGTTGTCTAGTGCTAATCTCGCCATTCACGTGTAGTTACTATAATCTCACCATTCACGTGTAGTTACTATAATCTCACCATTCACGGGTAGTTACTATTATCTCACCATTCACGTGTAGTTACTATGATCTCACCATTCACGTGTAGTTACTATGATCTCACCATTCCCGTGTAGTTACTATTATCTCACCATTCATGTGTAGTTACTATAATCTCATTATTCACGTGTATTTACTATAATCTCCCCAATCTCGCCATTCTCGTGTAGTTACTATAATCTCACCATTCACGTGTAGGTACTATAATCTCACCATTCACGTGTAGTTACCATAATCTCACCAATCTCACCATTCACGTGTATTTACTATAAGCTCACCAGTCACGTGTAGTTACTATAATCTCATTATTCACGTGTATTTACTATAATCTCCCCAGTCTCACCATTCACGTGTAGTTACTATCATCTCACCATTCACGTGAAGTTACTATAATCTCACCATTCACATGTAGTTACTATAATCTCATTATTCACGTGTATTTACTATAATCTCCCCAGTCTCACCATTCACGTGTAGTTACCATAATCTCACCAATCTCACCATTCACGTGTATTTACTATAAGCTCACCAGTCACGTGTAGTTACTATAATCTCATTATTCACTTGTATTTACTATAATCTCCCCAATCTCTCCATTCACGTGTAGTTACTATAATCTCATCATTCACGTGTATTTACTATAATCTCACCATTCACGGGTAGTTGCTATAATGTCACCATTCACGTGTAGTTACTATTATCTCACCATTCGCGTGTAGTTACTATATGCTCACCATTCACGTGTAGTTACTATAATCTCACCATTCACGTGAAGTTACTATAATCTCACCATTCACATGTAGTTACTATAATCTCACCATTCACGTGTAGTTACTATAATCTCACCATTCACCTGTAGTTACTATGATCTCACCATTCAGGTGTAGTTACTATAATCTCACCATTCACGTGTCGTTACTATAATCTCACCATTCACGTGTAGTTAGTATGATCTCACCATTCACGTGTAGTTACTATAATCTCACCATTCACCTGTAGTTACTATGATCTCACCATTCAGGTGTAGTTACTATAATCTCACCATTCACGTGTCGTTACTATAATCTCACCATTCACGTGTAGTTACTATAATCTCACCATTCATGTGTAGTTACTATAATCTCACCATTAACATGTAGTTACTATAATCTCACCATTCACGTGTAGTTACTATAATCTCACCATTCACATGTAGTTACTATAATCTCACCATTCACGTGTAGTTACTATATAATCTCACCCTTCATGTGTAGTTACTATATATTGTTTGCTGTGTACTCGTGTTGCGCTCAATTTGCCTTTTTTGGGGAAGGCGGTCAAATATTCACCCTTTGCCGATAAAATTCATATTTGCCTAGTTTTAAATACGCTATTTACATCCTTCCAATTTCTTTTAATTTCCATGGGAGAGAATCTGCATGTTTGAAATCAAAACATATATGAAATGTATACATACCCCCTAGAGACATACTGACCCTTTAAAATGAAAAATTTGAGTTGTTCTTTCAGATGAAATCATTAGTTCTTAGAATATAGGAATAATTTAGCAAATTCACTGGTTTTTAAGTAATTGTTTATATCTGCCACAGAAAACGTTCCAGGGATGACCAAGAACTTCACCGTCACTGTCCTGTCAGCCTCGGATGTGTTCGCAGAATGGGCAGGTGCAGACTCTCCTGCCTGTTGTCCTGTTGTGGCCTACACGCTTCACTACCGCAAGATCGGGGGCGCTGGTGAGTTATCTAACTCGAGATCTTGAGGAGAATTTGTTGGGTAAAACATAATCTTTCCTCGGGTATAACACAGATTTAATATGATATTCGTCTTGTAAGCAGGAGTTGCTTTAGTTGAGGCAGTACGTGCCAAATCCTGGAGACACAAGCTTGACATGCAGTTGATGCACAAACCTGATAAAATACAATATTTATTTTGTTGAGGAAAGTTGTATAGGATGAGTCGGCTACAATCAGTGGAAAACAGGGTAACAGCTATATTATACCAATTGCCCGTAGTTGTGTTTACAAATCTTTTTGATATCTTAAGAGGAAGGGAAATAACTTTTATGAGGGAGGTAACAACTTTGGTACAACTGCTGAACGGTATCGTAATCATAAAACATCCGTATAACGTGAGGTCAATGTTAACACTGGACTCATATTAGGTCAGTAAACTGCCAACCGGATACTGAATTTATCTGGTCAACCATTTTATTGCTGATTTTTTGGATCGCACGATTTAAGGGCGGGCATGGTAATTGATATTGCCTACAATAAAAGAGGGTATGATCTTGGTGTTTAGATATGAGTAAAAGTGGACACCCTTATTGATACAGAAATAGCGCTTGATTTATTGCCCATTATGACATCACCAAGAAAAATTGATTATGTTCTGAAGTCAGAAATTGTGGTTTTCTGTTGATGTTTCCAATCTACATTTCATTCTTTACAAAAGATTTTATTTGCCATGTCCTTTAATAAGTGAACATGTAATATTTCTTAGTTTATAGTTAAAAGCAAGGAAAATCAGTAACTAAATGAAATTAAGTCGTTTTAATCTTTTCTGATTTTAAGAACAGAGGTACATGTTCTTTATCAAATTGGGAATAAAAATACAAGTATTTACTTTCATTGCTTTTTGCTTTCAGCTAAGGAACAGAAGGAGATCGTGGAAGGGACCTCCGTGGTTGTCAGGAATTTGGACGTTTACTCTGAGTACGAGTTTTATGTGAAAGCCTACGCTAGAATAGGTGCTGGGAATGAGTCGAAAAAAATACGTGTGACAACAATGGAATCAGGTGAGGTCAAGGTTTAAGGTCACTGACCAGGTCAAGGTCATTTAATTTTGTTTTTACCTCACTTGATTGCTCATGTGAGCTATATTGCCATCTGTCTTTGTCTGTCATCCTGCATCGTCCCTCGTGAATTAATGATTCACATTTTTGACTTCTTCCATTTAACCACTGAACTGATTGACTAGGTCAAAAATGTTACACCCATGCTGTCCTTACAGTGTTCTTATTGTTGTACCGTTCTGAAAAAAATTAAGATTGTTGCCATGGTCTCTGATTGGCTATTTAAAGACATTTTTTACTTGTTCTCAAGAAATGCTGAAGCAATTGACTTAAAACTTGGCCTCTAGCTTTTTGCTGAGAGACTTTTAATTTAAGGTACCTATTACTGTATAACATGAAATGTTCGTTGCGTATAAACATTTACAAAATAAACATGGTTGTCGTGGTTGCTATGGAACCACGAACATAAATACAACAAATTTGAGTGTCTATTATTTATTAATATAGGATATCCACGGAAGTGCAGTGTACCACGAAACGATCTAAATGGCTTCAAATCACAAAGGAAAGTTCCAACGAACATATCCTGTTATACAGTAGGCTTGTGGTTAAGCATTTCAGTTATTTATCAAGACCAATTACTATTACATCACTTATCAAGGTCAAGTTTTTTTCTTTTTGCCTGCAATTATCAAAATAGATATCCTGTAATTTCAAAAAGTTGTTTTGGAATACGGAAACAGATGCATTTGTTAAATCAATATAAAAAAAACACCTCAGGAACATTTTTTTTCTTTTCTTTACACATAAATGGAGTGGGCACTGTGTTTGCTTTGTCTGTTTACGAGAAGTCCAACAGTCAGCAGAGTTCTTACTAGATTATATCTTGAAGAATTAGACACCAATATATACTAAGTGTAGGTCACTGTGACCTATGTTTTACTGTAGGTCTCTGTGACCTATGTTTTACTGTACGTCACTGTGACCTATGTTTTACTGTAGGTCACTGTGACCTATGTTTTACTGCAGGTCTCTGTGACCTATGTTTTACTGTAGATCACTGTGACTTATGTTTTACTGTAGATCACTGTGACCTATGTTTTGCTGTAGGTCACTGTGACCTATGTTTTACTGTAGGTCACTGTGACCTATGTTTTACTGTAG